CCGCCCCGCGCCAACCCCGAGGCCGCTTGGCCGCCGCCGCCGCTGCCCATCGTGCCCGCGGAGGAGCTTGTGGCCGGGGAGCCCTGCGAGAAGCCGAGTCCGAGCAGCAGCGCCGTCGTGGAACAGCCGCTTGTCGACCCCGGCGCACCGCAGGTCTGTAAGCGCACGATTTTTCCCTGCTCTTTGGGATTTTTCTAACCACATGCTTTCTGCAGTGAGCTCTTGGGCTTGGTTTCTCTGCTGGAGCGTTTAGTTCCTTTTTTGTATTTCCCTGAACTGGTGAAAGAATCCTGTCCCCCGTCTTTTTTTGTAATCTGCCTTAGCGAACCTGCACTTTCCGCCTCATCAGCTGCCTGAGGTCTGGGCTGATGATGTAGTTTTATGTTGTGAAATCGTTTTGGATAAAATGGTATTGACGTGGTTAAGGTCTCCTTTTCATTCATCACACCTTCACATTCACCTGATAACTTTTTTCTAAAAGCCTTTTTTGTCTTAACTATTATGAGTTAAAAAATACAAAGGCAGATGCTTAGTGAAAAATGACATCCGCCAGTTCTTTGTGAGCAGATGTGGCAAATGGAATGGAGAACTTTTTTCTTCATGGTTTCTCTTTTTCGAACTCCTATATGCACCTCCTTAGGAGTTGAACAAAAACCAGTTGGGTTATTTTGCTGTTCCCTCCCTTCTTTTAATGGAGGTCGGATGCAGAAATAGCAGCATGAGTACGATGGTTTAGGTTTGTCGGATCTTGATTTCTTTTCTTTTTCTTTTGTGGTTATTTCTCATTTTGAGTTCCTTCATGAATGATAGTTCCGAGGTAGTCTGTTTAAGATAAATCCACTGTGTACCTAGGTGTCCGGTTGGTTCTACGTGGGTTGTTTTGTTATTTTAGTGTATGTGGGTTTTTTAATCTGTCTTCTTTTTTGATCACTTTCCCCCTAGTTTTTTACACTTAATCCTGTTGAATTGCGGCTAGCAGTGTCCTGGATAGTAGTTGTTTTGTTTTGTAATGGACTCCCTCACAGAGTGCGTAGGCTGCCGGGTTACTCTCGGACGGAATATTAAGTCCTAAAGTGTAAGCACAGCGTGTATTGCATAAAATAACACGACTAGTTCCGAAGTGGTGTTTGGAGAAGAGGGAGAAATTAAGTGTGATTCCGAGGAGTATCCTACGTGCAGATAAGTAGCAGAGACCTGACTGCATAGGAGTCACTTAGGAGGACTCCCTTTGAAAGGGGAATTTTGTCGATGCCTTGTGCTAGTCTTGCTCGGAATTTGGGAAACTAATGTGCCTGCTGGCGTTCCATTGTGACGCCGTAGTTCTCGGTAGGAAGGGTGATAATAAGCTTCAACCACTACTGCTACAAAATAGCTGTGCAATTGTACGGGGGAAACTGTGCTTCCGTACTGTGGAATAAGAACCGTTATACTATGCATGTCATGTTAAGATAACTTTATATCCCTATTATTTCCCAATTCTAACAACATTTTCACCTGCGGTAAAAAAAACACAAACCCGGGGGCGTGCTATTTCTGTCTGGTCGTGATCATTTGGAGGATTGATGAAGTGACTGGTACGAGAAAAGATGAGAGAGGAGATCCCTGCACATTAGCGCTCGGTGCGTGCAGTGCCGGGAGGAGGCTGCGGGCGCCGCTGTTGCCCGAGAGGAGCGAGAGGAAGGTCGGAGCGCTGCAGCCCCGCCCGCTGCGGCCCGGCTCGATCGCTGGATCGCTGGATTCCTGGATCGGCAGCCGGATTGCGGTCTGCGATTGTGCCTGCGGAGCTGATCCCTGCTGAAGAAGGCGGTGGGTCTGGCGGCAGCGGCTGGGAGCGGCAAGTCGTTGCCAGAGCGGGAGAAGAATCGGCGATCGGCGGCGGGGATCTGCCGGCGGTGTTGCGGTGCCGGCGGTGCGGCGGCGGAGATGTGCGCGGCGGGGAGGCGCTGGGGCCGGCGGCAGCGAGTGCTGCTGTGGGGCGTCCTGCTGGCGGCCTGGGAGGCGGCGTGGGGGCAGCTGCGCTACTCGGTGCCCGAGGAGATGCCCAAGGGCTCGTTCGTGGGCGACGTGGCCAA